AAAGAGGAAGGAGGCCCTCTAGGCTCTTCAGAGTGGATTGATGGACCTAGATGGCACCAAAAGAAGAAAGGTTTTTGTCATAATAGGATGGGATTTCCAGTACCTCCTTCCTCCAAGAACTCTCAGCACTTACTGAATTTTAATTCAGCCGTCTTTGACAATTAGAATGTTTACTTTGACTAACTTTTTACATTTCTAAACCTAAAATACTAAATATTTCTCCTGCCCATTTAGTGGAGAAAAAGGCAAAGCATAGAAAGGCTTTAGTCTCTACTTCTGAGACTGGAATAAATGAATGCTAACATCTTACAGAACCATCTGAGTCAGAGCTTTTCAGTGACCTTGGATAGATGAGAAAACTGAAACCCAGATACAGGAAATAACAAGTCCAAGCCTCCCCAAATGGCTAGAGGCAGAGCATGGACTAGAGCCTGGGTTTCCTGACTCCTAGTGTTCTGGGGTCTGCAGCCTTCCTTTATGTCCTTGATGGCATAAGCCTTTATACCCAGTCCTGGGAGCCCTGTCTCAGGACTCAACTTCCCTATGGGGAGCACAGGGAACTGGGATTGGGGCAGGCAAACTGGTGGTGCCAGGTTCTTCCCTTTCCTCCCAAATTTCCAGCTGTGGATGGGGACCCACCCCCGGGGAGATGCCAAGATCCTTGACAACCGCATTTCACAGAAGACACTAGGCCAATGGATCGCTGAGAACCAGGACTGCTTGGGCTCTAAGGTCAAAGACACCTTTAATGGCAAGCTGCCCTTCCTCTTCAAAGTGCTCTCAGTTGAAACGGCCCTGTCTATCCAGGCACATCCTAACAAGGTACAGGATCAGAGTGGGACACAGAGGTCAGGGTAGAGAAGAGCTTATGTTAAGGCCCTCCCATGACTTTTACCCCACCCATACCAGGCTCCAGCCCAAAGCTAAATTCAGGCCTGACTACTCCCAATTTAGCTCCGCAAGGCCAGATGCTGGTGACACATGCTAAAAGCTAAGTCTAAGTGAACAGCTGACACCTATGCCAGAGGAGTTTCTCCAAGCTTCTTCCTGAGCTCCCTTGACCCAGCCCAGGACTATTCATATCTGCCATTTTCCCAGTTGGCTTTCTGGGAGAGTTCACCTTCCAGGGCAGGGCAGGTACCCTCACTATTGCCTCAGCTCCACCCCCAGGTAGTCTTTCTGCAACAAGCCCATGAGTCACAGCATAAGCATTGTCTGTCTAAACTCATTTCTAAATGGGCAAAGTAAGACCCAGAGATCTGAGGGATTTACTTAAAGTCACACAGCTTGTTAGTGTCAGAGCTTGGCTTGGTGTTTGGGTATCCTCATTTGCAGTCCAGGCCTCGTAAAGTCTGCCCCAGCTCGCCCCCAGATTTGGCCCATGTCCCTGCCCTGGGTTGGCTGAACCCAGTTTCAGCATTATGCCTTGACTGGGCTTATTGCCAGACGTAGGAAGCTACTGCTGTCTGGCAACGGGAGCATAGAGAGCAAGGGCTGGGTGGGAGTGGTGTCCTGCTAGGTCCTGCACCTTGACCATCCTCTTCCCCTGGCCATCCCACAGGCGTTGGCAGAAAAGCTGCACCTCCAGGCTCCACAGCACTACCCTGATGCCAACCATAAGCCAGAGATGGCCATTGCCATCACCTCCTTCCAGGGCTTATGTGGCTTCCGGCCAGTTGAGGAGATTGTGACCTTTCTGATGAGTAAGGCTGGACAAAATGCTGAGAGCATGCATATTAGGCCTAGGATGCATGGGCAACCCAGGGCAGAGCTGGAATAGTGGCCGAGAACAGAGGCTGAATGTCACAGGAACTGAGGGGCTGGTTGGCCTCATGAATTCTTGAAGCCACTGGGAAAGGCCCATGAGACTAGGCTCAGGTGTGGTTGCAAAGTTTGCTTAGCATTGCTTGGCTCCTTGGTTAGGGATGGGATGGGGAGGCCTCCTCAAACTTCCCACTTGTACGGGTTCTGTCTTGCCATTCCTGACATGGGCCTTGGCCTGACCTTGCCTTCCTGCAGAAGTGCCCGAGTTCCGTTTCCTAATTGGAGATAATGCAGCAACACAGCTAAAGCAGAGCCTGAGCCGTGACTCCCAGACCATGGCCTCTGCTCTGCAGAGCTGTTTCTCCCACCTGATGAAGAGTGAGAAGAAGGTAGTGGTGGAGCAGCTCAACCTGTTGGTAAAGCGGATCTCCCAGCAAGGTGGGTATCGTAGGCCTGGGCGCAGTGCCCCACCCTGGGCCCCCAGGTTCGGACGCTAGGCTGTGGGACAGGGTTTTCAACCCCTTTGCTCAAGTGGAACACTAAAATGGGCCCAACTTGGTGACTTAGCATTTCTTTCTCAGTCTATGGAATAGGGCTCTAAGTTGAATGCTGCTTCCTAGCTGGCCTGGAAGACTGTTAAGATGTCTTTCACTTAGGCCTATAGCTGCTCCCCATGGCTGGATTTGTACTTTGGACTAGAGAGCCCGAAGAGGCAAAGGGATCCTCCCTCTCCTCCAAAGGCCTGATACCCAGAGCTCTCAACAGGTCTTTCCTTAAACACCTGCACTGTGCCCAACCTTGTGCTAATTAAGGAGAGTTCAGGAAATGGCTGGTGGGTGCGGTCATGTCACCTTTGGGTTGGCAAGTCAATAGTGAAAAACAAGGCAGAAGGGACTCTCAGCCATGAGCTTTGTGGCACCCGTGATGAGGCGCCAGCCCCTTGTACAGGTGACCCCAGAGCTCTTCTGGTGGTCTCTGCACATTTCTCCTGCTACAAGGAACTGTTTTCTGTTTTCTTTGTTGTTTCCTCTGCTTGCATGCATATCCCTTTAAGGATTCTTGCACTCACAGCAGAACTGATTCCGCCAGCCTGGAGCTCCCGTAGCACCCTGTTCATGTCAGGTATAGCCCTTAGCACCTGTGAGTCTTGTCACCACATGCACACTCAGGCCAGGGACCCATTTCCGTGAGCTTGGTGTGTCCCAATGCTTAGCAGAGTAGGCATTTGGCACGTCTGCGTGGAGACCAGAACCACCCTCCAATCCAGAGCAGCTGGTTTCACTGTAGCATTGGCACACCCTGCTTTTACTTACAAATACCCTCTCTCCTTCTACACATTCAAGACGACTCAGCCCTTTCTCAAGAAGCCTTCTCTCACCACTCTAGCCCAACCTGAGTTCACCCTCCTGGTCAGGCTGCAGGACACATTTTGGCCGTTGGCACGTTGTGCCTAATGCTATCTGGGGGACCAACCATCTCTGTTTGCCTGGGACTGAGTCATTTTCTGAGATGCAGTGCTTTCAGTGCTAAGAAAGGGGAAGGCCAGGGCTAACAGGGATAGCTGGTCACCCTATGTGAAACTCTTGTTATCTCCTAACTAGATTTTGAGCTCCTAGAGCAGTGGTTCTCAACCAAGGCACATTGGCAGTTGTCTGGAGACACTTTTGGTTGTGAAAACCTGGGTTGGGGTGCTAGTGGTATCTTGTGGATAGAGCCCAGAGATGCTGCTATACATCCTACAATGCTCAGGACAGTGTCTGCAACCAAGAATTACCTGGCCCAAAATGTTAATAGTGCTGAGGTTGGGAAACGCTGTCCTAAAACACCACTCTAGCCCTTTTAATGCCAAGTGTAGTGTTGGGCATTTAGGTGGTTAAAATGGAAAAAAATGGCATCTGTGCAGGCTAGACTATCACGGAAGACTGGCCCCCAAACAGCTGGGCATGTGGCCAGAACATGCCCACCAATTTCTGGATTCCTGTGGGCAGGGACTCCCTGGCCAAGGTGGGGCTGTGACTACCACTGAATGTTCCTAAGTGGCCTTGGCGTGCTCTGTGACCCTTAGTGGCTGCTGGGAACAATGTGGAGGACGTCTGTGGGGAGCTCCTGCTGCAGCTGCACCAGCAGTATCCAGGTGATATCGGATGCTTTGCCATCTACTTCCTGAACCTGCTTACCCTGAAGCCGGGGGAGGCCATGTTTCTGGAGGCCAACGTGCCCCATGCCTACCTGAAAGGAGGTGAGCCACATTTCAGCAGTGAGCCCCACTGTCATCCTCCTTGGGCCTTGTTTCCCCATCCAAACTGGGGAGAGGGTGGTCGAGGAGACCTTTAAGGTCCCATCCAGCTCTGACCTCCTAGGGTTCCTGGGGTCAGCAGGGAAGCGACCAAGAGGGATGATGGGTACCAGGTTGGTGCTGGACACTGCCTGAATTTTCACACCAACCCCGTGAAGTCATGACACCGTCAGTTAAACCCTGTCAATAGTGTGGGAACCACAATGTGAGTCCAGGCCATACTGGATCACGGCTGTTCTCTCCCCTGCATCACACTGCTCATGTCTGTCCTGTCAACCCAGAGATGTTTTACATTTAAAGTGCACGTTGCCACATTTTGATGTTGGCTGTTTATCCACTCATTTACAGGTTTTTTGTAGAATAGTCTGAGGAGGATTGGGGCTCCCCCAGGGTGAACATGACTCCCCGACAATAGGTGACCCATCACCTGTTTTTTGGTGTATTTTAGCTTATTCTCCCAGAGATGCAATTCACATTTTTACCTAACTGCAGTGGGTCATGGTGCCCAGGTTAGAAGGCCCAGCCCTGGAGAGCCAAACTCCAAGGCATCCTTCATCAGCTTAGCACATAACTCTGTCCCCAGACTGCGTGGAGTGCATGGCGTGTTCAGACAACACAGTACGTGCTGGTCTGACACCTAAGTTCATCGACGTGCCAACTCTGTGTGAAATGCTCAGTTATACCCCTGGCCCCAGCAAGGACAGGCTCTTTCTTCCAACACGGAGTCAGGAAGACCCCTACCTCTCTATCTATGACCCCCCTGTACCAGACTTCACTATTATGAAAATGGAGGTGAGGAGGGGGCCATGGTGGGAGTCTTGTGGGGTGTGGAAAACCCTGGCAAGGGCTACAATGTGGACTGTCCCTGGGCTGGGTTTCCTTTCTGTCAAGTTCNACTTTTTGTAGCACTTATTTTTCAACATACTGTAAAACTTATTTATTATACTTGTTTGCCTGTCTTCACCAGAATGTAAGCTCTACAAAAGCAAAGGCATCGTTATCTTGTTCTCGGATGTTATCTCCAGCTCTTAGAACAGTCCATGGCATTTAGCAGGTTCTCAATAAATATGTGTCCGGTGAAGGAACGAATAAATACTGAAACCTAAGGTTGCGGGCTACAAGCTTCTGAGCTGGTGGGAGTTCCTCCTCATTGCTGAGGGTGGGAGAGGGATTCATAGTGCTGGGAAAGCGGCACAGGGCTCATAGGACTCCCAGCAGGCGCTTGAGGAACTACATTTCCCATGAAGCTCTGGGCGCAGAGGGACCACGGGTGCTGCCGGGAAGGGCATACGTACTTGAAGGCTTGTGAGGTGCCGAGAGGATGGCCGCTCCGCGAGGTACGCTGTAAGCCGGGATGCAGGCGAGCGTGGGGGTGGGTTGCGTCCGGGGACACTTCTCGACATAATATGCCAGGTCTAACCCACACTTGGGGCTCCGCGGAAAGATGGATGGGCGCGGGGCAGAGGAGGGACACCAGCGATGGGGATTGAGCCGCTATTGCAACCCTCGAGGGGAAGTGGATCACTTAGATGGCGTGCGGCGAAATACGTTCCTCCCTCTCTCCCTCTCCATCATCTCAGCACAGCTGCCTGCCTCACGTCAGCACAATATCCTCACTGCCCGATTTACAGATGGGAACGTTGAGACTTGCAGAGAAGGGTCTCAACTATTTGACGTCGTCCCTCAGACAAAACCCTCAGCTTGTGTCTACTTTCCCGGGGACAGTAGGGTCTGGCCTCAGGGGTGGAGGGGAAGCTGACCTTCTGTCTGTGCCCCCAGTATTCCCACTCTCCTGTGTGGTGCAGCAGTATGCCTGGGGGAAGATGGGTTCTAACAGTGAAGTGGCTCGGCTGCTGGCCAGCAGTGACCCACTAGCCGGGATCTCAGAGGACAAGCCATATGCAGAGGTGAGACCTGGGCTGTATTTCAGTCCACTTTACCAG